GAAATCTGAAAAGAAATGTTTTAAGCAAAGCCTCAAGAATATTTCAATATTTTGAGTAAATCGCTTGTTCCTTGTCAGACTTTACCCCAAGAGATCGCAATATAGACATCACAACGATCAAACGCTAACTCTGTCAATAACAGTTCCTGGTTTACGACAACTTTTTAGCACAGCTGATTTTCCATCTTATCTAGTGCAAGTTTTTTTGTGGTTTTGTGTTTATGTGGTACACGGAGGCTTAATAATAGGCGGAGCATATAAAGGGCAGCCTTCAGCCCTTCAGTCGTTCATTCTTCCTTTCTGCAAGTCGTTATTGGCTTGATGTCCTTCCTGGCTTCAATTCCAAACCTTGAAGAATTTCTACCTTTGCAAAACTAGGTGTGTACTCTTGGGGCCAAAAACCAAGATTAAATCAAGAATTGGGTAGAAGTTTCATTTTTTATAATAGAAAAATCTAGTGTCATGCAAATTCAGCTATTCAACTAACAAGACACTTGTAAGACATTCTGTACACAACTAGATAGTAATTTGTTCCCTCCTCCCCCCCCCCTTTTCCCGCTGAATAGGCGGAAGTGAAGTGGTGCTTGTCCACAGACTATTGTTTATGCTGTTTGTTTTCGATGTTTACGTGATCAGACGGGTTTGCTAGACTAGTTGATAAACAACTTCTTGCTCTGATGATAAGTATATTAAGTAAAACAGTTATAGAGATACGTTCTACCTTTCTAACTCCACTGAGCGCGCTCCGCCCTCAAAACATGCTCCGCCCTATTCTCGAGTCAGTAAATTGGAACATATCGTCCCTTAGTTTTCTAGAATTTGTCTTCAATAAAAAATCCTTCATTTTTTCATATTTGTTGTGCTAATGTAAGACGTATCTGGTAAAATCTAGATACCTATCAGTGCTCTCAAAAATTTTGATTTACGGTATCCTATGTAGTAACTGAAATATGATATTTCCCTGGTTTTCTTTTCTGCAGAGGGAGTTCACTTCAGTTAAAATTTCATTTATGCGTATTTATCCCTACAATTCTCGCATCACTAAAATATTTTTGATGACGTCATATTTCCGCTTCTCTTATTGCTAATGAAGTCCCAAAGATAGAAATCTCTCCATCTTTGTTGTCAGCGCAAGAGCTGAAAACAATCGGAAGGACGCACTGTCGGTGATAACCATGAAATTGGGCAAAGTTCGTGTTTGTTGCAAATCGTCACATGTAGATTAGATTAGTTCCAGCAATTTCCAATTCACGGCCGAGTAGACAGCACATTCATTTTGGCGGAATAGAGAAGTTGCTGAGATCAGAAATCAGCTGTTTCAAATTTTTAGCTGAATTTCTAGCTAAACATAGTGAGCTCATACTTACAGGAAGGGATAGTGCAAAAAATAGAGGAGAGAGGAGAAAGATGAGAGAAGAATTTTGTAAGACGTTGATCTACCGCACCTTTTCTTTTAGAGATACATCGACTAACCCTCATTTTTTGGCGATACCTTCTTGACTCCCCTGCGGTCCCAAAAAATGGTCTCGGAGAGAAACATACAGTTCCTCTGCGGTTTTTGGAAACTTTCTAAGTTTTCCGCAAGCTTATTACACTAAAATTTTGATAAAAAGGAGTACAGTAACCATGTCGCAAAACGATTTGCACGACTGATTTGATTTTGCTATAGAAGTCTTGTTTCTGTGAATTTTACTTATGTGGAAGCTTTGTATTTTTTCTATAAATTGATTAATTCAGAAAAAATCATTTGCATATTTTTCAAATCACATGCACCACACTCAAAAATTTCTAGGCTTATCTTCGGTCCCCCCCCCTCCGCCTATAAATACCGAAAGAGTTAGGGTTTTGACTACTTTATTAAGCCCTACCATATTTTATTGATCTAAACCCTATCAACTACCCACGCACTTTTACTGGAGCAAAATCAGTCAGTAAGTTCCTGTGGCTAGCTCCACCCATCGGGAGAGCCCCGCCTATCGCGCACAGCTCCTATTTTCCGCAGACGATATATGGTACTTTTTAAGGATATTCATACCATGAACTGTGATCGCTGCACTACTTGGGCGTCATTCCCGTCTGAATCTGCCCTGAGAGGGCATCGAACACTGCTCTAGCCAAAATGGCTTTGTTCATTGTCAAAGGAGTTCTCTTATCTAATACGACTTAAAACAGGGCTCGGCAGTTCATTCCAGACCCGCCTGAATTGAGTGGAACGCTTATCAATCTTTCGTTTTCGTCATATAGCTCGCGCTAGTGCGGCAAAATCTTTCTCTGGCAAAAAATTGCCGTTTCAACTAGTTTAAGATGCATCTACTTTGGTGACCCTTTTTATCTCGTACACTTTTCAAGTCGAATCGCCTCGCAAATGATTCGCAGAGAGACATTATGAACTCTTCATAGGGTTCACGAGCGCCCCCATATGTGTGTAAATCGCGTGATGTAACCTTCTGATTCGATTAGACAGGGTTAGCGCCCAAGTGGAGCAAAGCGGACGTTTTCCCTTCCCCCTTCTAATAAGAATGCAGAAATGTTTCAAATAATGTATACTTATGTAGACTTCATCCCCTTTTATAGCGGGCCGAACAAGATCTTGGAAATAAATTAGCTTGTTCGTTTCATGTTTTCGTGGTTTCATAGTATACTTTTCTCAGTATGTGAGTATATTTGCTTTCAAACCCTATTTTATAAATCTTCAACCTGTATTTCCACAAAGTCCCTTAATAAATTTCTCTATAAAGTCTAACTCTCAGGCAATTCTCCGTAACTTCCGCAAGGCACACAAAATTTGCAGCGGTTCCGCAGGATTTTGTTTACCATTGCAAAAGCGGGAACGTTGAAAATGGGAACTTCCGCAGGATTTTCACGTCAGAGATGAAAACGGGAACTTCCGTAGGGCTTTATACAAAGCGCTGCGGAACTTCCGAAAAATGCCAGCGGCTCCGCAGCACTTTGACATGCCAGTACTTCCGCAGGTTTTGAATGTGTTGTCTAATATGATGCTGCCTCGCCAACAACTAGAGTGCATTATCGAACATGTCCGTAGTGCAGAGATAGTAGGTAAGTCTCACAGTCAATAAAGTTCAAATCTCGCGGTGTTTTCTTTTGCTGTTGTGGTTCGCATTCTTCGGAACTTCCGCAGCACGTTTACGGAACTTCCGCAGCTGACAAGGCGGAACTTTCCCAAACGTTTGGCGGAAGTTCCGGTCAGTTGTCTGAGCTCAGACGACTCATCGGAACTTCCGCAAGACAAGTAAAACTTGCAGCGGTTCCGCAGGATTTTGTTTTCTACTGCAAAAGTGGAATCGTTAAAAAAGAGAACTTCCGCAGGATTTTCAGTTAGACTGGTTGCAAACGGGAACTTCCGGGGCCTTTTACAAAATGCTCTGGAATTTCCGGAAAATGCCGGCTGTCGCTTCACTTTGACTTGCCAGTACTCCCGCAGTAGCTCAAATATGCTGCCTCTTACCATGCTGTCTCGCCAATAATTAGAATGCATTGTTTAACATGTCTTGCGTAGTGCAGAGAATAAGTGTCTCACAGTCAATAGAGCAACGTTCAAATCTCCCTAAGGTGTTCTCTTTTACTGTTGTGGTTCGTATTTTTGGAACTTCCGCAGCACATCATTTGGGAACTCAGCACGTTTACGGAACTTCCGCAGGTTACCCGGCGGAACTTTTCTAAATGCTCTGCTGAAGTCTGAGAAAGTCAGGTTGTTTGGAGTTCGAATCGCGAAGTTGTAGATAAATTTGCTTGTAGATATCTTTCATAGTTCCCTTCTAGATGCAATCTTACAAGGGACAGATACTTGGTGATTGTGGCCAATCCCAATAAGACACATATCACTGAACGCGCCTTAGAAATCTGACTTCAAATCTGCTTTCATTATCTGCTAAACGATTATGTAAAATAAGTTATGGGGTTTTTTTTGCAGAATCTTTCATACTAGCGCATAGTCAGATTCCTTAATGTTGAGTTTTTTGAGGGTAAACGCAACTGAGCTGGTTATCCAAAATTCAAGAAATTGAGCTCTTCTTCAAACGTTGTTCCGAGGAGCGAAACAGGAAATCAGAGCGATTCTTATAGCTTTGCTCAACTGAAACAGTACAAATTATTATAGAAAAGACGTTCATAGCTTATTTCGACAGTCGCTTAGCAGATGGCTTAAAGAGATTGAAATCAGCGCTAGAACACTCATTTTATGAATTTTGTAAGTGTTACATTACGAACGGCCAGCGTCACTAAGGATCCTTCTCTTGTTAGATTTTTCAGAAAAAAATTTGCTGAGATTTTAGGGCCTGCTGCATTGTCATTCATCTTCTGACTTCCTTCAATTTCCTGATCAAGAATGGTATTTCTTTCCCTCCCTCTACTCTTTTGCAGACTGCAAACTTACACAATTATTTTTAATTCTTACGCATCCAGGAGTTGGAAAACTTGAGGTTGAGTAGCAGCAAGATACATTTCCTTCCCTTCCATCCCACTTATGTTTTCTTGAGCTAATTTGAAGCATCATTTCAGCTGAGACATCTGGGCACTTTTGCGCTCTCAAATATCTTCAAATTTGGGTGCACAAGCCACGCCCCCATGCTGTATGTAACTCGCATTTTCTTCGCGAGTGTTCTTACCGTTAGGTGTTCATTTATTATAGTTATGTACAAGGGACTCGTGTTCTTGAGCAAATCCATCTTGCTACCCTATGAAATAACACGAAAATTTTGGATAATGCAAGCTGTATATATGCATGTTGTCAATTTCGTCTCCTCTCTCTCCTTCCTCATCTTGGATGCTCTTGGTTCTTCATTGAAAGGCGTCTGATATTGTGTATATTGTATATTGTGCTTGGAGTAGAATGTACTTTTGCTATTCCACGGCTTCCTGGACCAAGGCGTTCTTCACTGTCCCATATATGTGAGGTAAGAGCGGTCAAAATGACGGACCAGTCGGAGGGAGGGCAAAGGATGGACCCTTTGGGTGCCTTGTAATGAAATTATGATGATAGGCAGGTTTTTACATCCGTATTCCTTGTCATTCTGTCCTAATTATGCTAGGAATCTCTTACTAATTTTAGATGCATCAAACCAAAGACTACATTCTTATCGCTACGTTATGTATTCAATTCCACCAAAAATCTATTTTATTGCATTTGATGAATTTTATGACACTGTCAAAAGACCATCGTTACTTTTTGGCTAAAACTACAAAATACAAAACTGCTGACCACAGAATTTTGATTTTAACACGGCTATAAAAGAGTAACGTTTTCCAATTGCATTCGATATGAACCTCTTCTCGCTTATGACACGAACCGTTCGTTCTCTAAATCTACATAGAAGATTATAATGTTCTACAGATTACAGATGATTGCGCTCAAGTCTGCTCAGCGCCTTCCACGAGGTCTAACTGTAGAATGGATGGATGGGATGCGAGCACAATTTTCAAATGTTTGGCTAAGAGATAATAGCCTACACATGCGACCATCGTTGGTCCACCTTGACTTGAATCCTTGTCCACAGGTAATTTCGCCCTGAATATTTACTTTTGGAAGACACTCAAAGCTTGTTTAGAAAGTTGATCTATCCGGAACTTCCGTCTCCGTAGAGTGGCCGCCTTTTTTACGCGCCGAATTTCCAAGTGACTTCCTCCGATCACACAGCACCGTTCAACCGGGCACCAATCTCTGTAAAAATCCCAACAAAATGGTGTGTCATCATTTGTGTTATCCGTAAAAGACAATGACCATTTAATGGTTGTTTCAGATTTTGACGAAACCATGGCGAATTCAGCAGAAGCCATGTACAGTTGACATGCGCCATATTGGTGCAATGATTTGGAAGGAACCACTTGTAATCAACGGTACTGTGTGGCCACATCTTGAAAAGGTGAATTCAACTTTTCGTACTATAACAAAAAATTGAAAACAGCTTTTTTTATACCTTTGGCATCTTGTTTCATGAGTGAAGAGCCTATCGAACAAACGCGTACCTCTATAAGCTTTGCGGGGTCAGCCGGTTACTAAGAAAGTGTTCTGTAATTCAGGTTACCTTTGGTACCAATCTCCCGCCCTCTGATCGTAGAGGGGGGCACTGTCCGCTTAGGGTGGGAATAGAGTCTTAATCTTATTGCTCATAGCGGCGCCTCATACCATTACGCCACAGTTTCGCCTAAAGTAGAAAACAGGCAATATCGCCGAATTTTGCGTCTTGTGTAATTCTCTCGTCATTATCTTCTCTGCCGTTACCTGCTGTTCTTTTTGAGGACCATACTCTGCAAGTTTCCAGTGGAGGCTGGAAGTACATAACTGCGCCTATCACACGCGTTTTGAATACCTGATAAGTTCAGCAGTGATTAATGGGAGCAGAAGTGCAACACAAATAGACAAGAATTTTTGACTTTCGCATCATTTAATGACCATATCTGTCTTGAGATTTTGATTCAGATCTAACCGTTACTATCGCTAACCACCAACTTCTAGATTCCCTCGGTGGTTACGGTAGAAACGCGACACAATGGAGCTCGCATAAGTCTTGTCGATGCGGTCGCGGCACTGAAGCGATTAGCTGAAGAACAACCACAGTATTTCCGATTTATGATCGAAAATCCTATCGAATATCAGCACGCATTCTTCAAAGCTTCTCATAAACTGGCAAACATCGATGGAAATGTGATCGTTTCGGTAAGTGGAGCATTGAGACCATTTATGGCTACAGTTCTTACGAGTGCTTTGCAGGGTGTGTTCAATAACGATTATCGATCTAGCCAAATGACGACAGAGAATCTGGACTTGTTCTACCGTAGCTTGAAGTCTTTCTACAAGATCTGTTGCGAAGAACAACAAGAAGTCTATATAAATTCGGACGAGTTATTGGTTGTGGACAACTCCCAAATGCTCATTGGAGCCCCTGCACAATGGGGTCGCGAAATGAAAGTTCGCATTTTTGCGTAAATTACGGAGGCCTTTTTGCTTTATTGCTTATCGTCGTAGCTGGACATTAAACGGCCTCATCTGCGCTCAAACCTTGACGCTATCCGACTTGCACCTTTCAAAGTCGAGCAAGCATCATCTGTAATTAATAGTTTGATTGAGTTGTTTCCATATGTTCTATCTTGCACCACGACTCTATAATTGTTTTCACTCAATGCTCACAGAACTGGTCCTATGTTATCTGATACATCAGCGAGTTGTTTTACTCAGGAATCCTTTTTTCTCACCGTCAACGTGTAAATACTTCTCTAGTGTGATCTGCAAGAACTGTAAATAGCAGTAGCACATCATCCATTGCTAATATGTTCCTGCCATTCTTTTATTTCCTCATTTTGTCTCCCTTAGAAGGTCAAGCCAACTCCGAATGTGCATTGTGAATAAAGCATGAGCTCTTCATGAATGCATGAGAAAATGTTTAGGGAAGGGGGCCAAGTGAGGGCGGAGAAAGTGGGGCCAAATGGGGGTGGAAGACCCAGTTGGTAACTCTATACCTTCATGATGTCTTCATGGTGTCGCTAGGACCTCGTCAGTCAGTTGTTTGGAGTGTTGTCAACGATCAGACGTAAAATCTTTCAACTGCATATCAGGATATGTGTAAAAATGTAAAGGTCGTTAATACTTCAGATAAACTGCCAGCGCTACTATTTTCAAGCAGCCATTTGAGGCTGCAATAATAAGATACGAGCACGTAGTAGCACATCTCTGAAATAATTCGTCAAAGTTCTTATGCAGCATCATAATACAAGGTAATTTAGCAATGCAGCACAAAAGCAGAAGCGTGTCCTGCACAGTTCTCACACTGCAAATCATTCACATATGTTGACATAATCTTCAACTTTCTCTCGTACTCTTCACGCAAAACCGACAAATCTGCAACTTACTTTCTTCATCTTTATCCCTCGAAGGGTATGAGGACATCGGCTTCCAAATGTTGATTAACAAAACACCTCCACATGAATCTTCCACCTGGACTTGTCGTTTCCTAACTGTACATTGATATCAACCATAAGCATCAAGAGAAGAGAATCAGCGTCAAAGAAGGAAATTTGAAATATATAGAACAAATGCTTGAACCAGAATAACAATCGGCAAATCGAGTGCATAAACGAGGTTGTGCGGCACGTTTGCGGTGCAAAGGTTGGGCCAGACTGCGCCGGGATAGCGGATAACGCAGGCTGCATACGCTCCTATGATGAAAAACCGAGCGTACGCTGTGTAAGCCGCGCAGTCTGGCCCAACCCTAAGGATGTGCGGCACTCCTGAGAACTATTACACATACCGTGGCAGGACCACTTAGTCGAGATCTCTGCCTACTGTGGCCCGCTCAAATCCCATGAGTGGAGGAACGAACACCTCAATTAGGCACCGCCTCCGCGGACCACTGGTCCCAACACGATGCACAATAGTAGGACGAAAGGACTAGCAGCCCGCGGAGGCTTTGCCCAATTGAGGCGTTCGTTCCTCTACCCAAATCCCATAATTTTTGCTTGTCTATAGCGTGGGTCGCGAATCGCCACGTTTCGCACTATCAGACTCAGATTAGTTTCATTTTCTTTTCATTGCTTTTCTCGCTCTTCATCTATTCGTGTCATTATAATAAGCCGCTTACTTGTCGGTCTGTAAGTCTGTCTGTTACGAAAATACAGTGGAATGATTTACAATTCTTTGGAGCATGTGAGGTTCTGATAGCGAGTATGGTTCATTTTTAATTAGGACTTTCTCACCGCAGTCAACCTGGCATTAATCTAAAAGAAAGCCTTCACATCGTAAGTTTACCATCGTTTCTTGATGGCCAGTGCGAGCCTCTGCTAAGCAGAGATGAAGAACTGGTTCGTGTTTAAATTACCAGTGCGTCTCACCTCTGCTTCGCAAAGGCTCGCACTGGCCCTACTTTCTGCATGCCTTACTCATTCCCGCAGAATAATGGTATTGATTGAAACTCACCGCGCTATGCAGGCTATCACGACTAAATTGTAAACAGCTACTCATTGCGAGAGCTTTTTTGTGTGAGATCGGTACTTTCGAGTAGATGAACTTTTCCGAGAAGAATAAATGCAAATTTGAATCGACTTTTGGACTTTTTGTGGTTTGGTAGTCGCCATAACGACGATGATCACCGCTGGCTACATCTTGGTGCAAAAATCTTCTCAAATGATCAGGGAGAATCTTGGCCAAGTGGGTCCGTTTGAAGAGCAATTTTTGGGGGGTCCACTCAACGGATCCGCTCGTGCTTTTGCATAGCGGACTTTCATGCTGCTAGCATGCGCCAAAATTTGGGCTCTGGACGTTGGCTGGAACACGCTCCTCGAAACTAACGGACAGACAAACACACACTCACAAAAAAACCTAAATATCCTTAGCCCGTTGTTATAAGTTATGATTTTGTTTTCAACTGCTTGTTGACCGTTTGGTATGTTTATATTGGCTATCCGTAGAGTTTCGTTACTCTTTCATTGTGCTGCTAATGAAGCAGTACTGACATCCGTGAACTGTTGAAGCTGCAAGGTACAATGCAAGTCAATATTAGTAAGGTTGCCTCACTATTTTGACCAAATTTCTTCCTCCAATCTCCATTAGGCTCCCGCCAGAGTGCCAAAGTTATGCCAGCGCTACGCCAGCATTTCGATCGATACACGTGTATTTCGTTGGGGCGGGGCTAGCTCAGCAGGTAGATGTCCCCAACGAAATACACGTGTATCGATCGAAATGCTGGCGTAGCGCTGGCATAACTTCGGCACTCTGGCGGGAGCCTTAGGAATCGTTCAGACTGCGCCGGTACCCGTCCAAACCCACCCGAATGCGCCCACGCCTGAATGCCGAAATTGTCAAAGCGCAGCAGATATGCGTGCAAATTGGTATATTGGAGCACTCCGGAATACTGAGCGCGTAGCGCATATATCTCAGTCACTGCAGAAGGATCCGCAAATTAAGGATTACATATACCAGGCCCATACGTACAAACCAAACCACCTACACACATACAGTGACACATACTCACACTTCCGCACACACACACACTCACACACATTCACACACATTCTCATAAGCACTCATTACACACATATTTTCATACAATACATACATATTTCATACAAACAACGCAGAAATTTCCTCTGCAATAATTGGAAACAGAAGAAATTGCGAAATTCAATAAAAAGGAGTTGACGCCACAGCGATGGCGTAAAGACAAAGAGTGTTCGGATACATGAAATTGTAAGAAGGCGGAATACCACGCCAGATCCTTGTAATATTAGTGTAGTTGCAAATGAAGATCGGTATGTAACGTCGAGCTACGCGGAACTAACAAGGGATGGATCTTGATCAAGGTGGCGTTTCTATACAAAATGTACACTGTTTTATAGAGCATGGAACAGAGTTCAAACCTACTTTCGGTATCTGCAAAGCGCTTCAGGAAGGGAGTAGAAATTTTTCGATGCAAAAATTTGAAAGCGCCGCTACAATAAAATCATTCGAAACCGTAGTCTTTGAGTTCAAGTATGGCCATGATTAGTATAAGGGCGTTTTATGGAACAAGACCTTCAGTCCAATAAACTCATGTCAGTCATTACTCCTTCTAAGCGCCGAAAAGATCTCAACACCTATTTTTATCTTAGCCAAATCATTTAATTTCTACCCCAAAAAATTCCCATAATTCCCCTCCCAGAAGCGCTTTGCAGGTACCGAAAACAGATCTGGAATCAGCGTTCAGTGCTCTATAAATTATTATACATCCCATATGGAAACGCCACTTCGACCAAGTATCCTTTCCTTGTAAGGTATATGCGCCACGCGGGCAGTATTCCATGCGTGCTCCAATATGCCAATTTGCGCGCATATCTGCTGCGGTTTGGCAAAACGGCGTGCAGGATGGTTCGAGCCGATTTGGCGGATTCGGACGGGTTCAGGCGGGTTCGGGCCGATTTGGGCAGATTTGGACGTATTCGGGCAGATTCGGACGTATCGAGCGGGACGGGTACCGGCGCGGTCTGAGCGATCCCTTATTGGTAGAATTGCAAATGCCATGAGAGGTGAGCGGTGGCGGGAAATACTTGGTACATGTGCGAACATTCAACTCTGAAGCAAACCAGCGCTTTCGTCAAAGAAACAGTTCGATTTATTCGCAGTGCTAATTTTTAGCTCACAAACGTTTCGGTATGGTGTTCACGGTTGAGCCATGCGAGCGGCCCTCTGCTGGGCAGTGTTGTAAAGAGAGACATAGGCCAAAGCTTCCGCTCTACCGCAAGAAGTGAAGCCTTTTAACCTGCAGACAATGTGCATACCCAGTAGGTAGGCAATACCGGTATCTGCTAACAGAGTATATTTTCACACATGTGAACGTAAACGATACATGCATGAGGCACGGCACAGTGTTAAGGATCGGTGATGCTTCGTCGCCACACGATTTCTAATTGTGACGATCGTCCACAATCTTCCGTAGGCGCATACTCTATAAGCAAAATTCGACTTGTACGCATAAGCTCACAAAAGCTATAGACCTATGCATATGAAATTCACCGCGGAGGATTGCAGACATCTGGCAGGTTGCCGGATCGAGTATCCCGCAACTTTGGAGAAATCGCGCAAGGTATATGTGAGTGCTTGACGCCCATACTCGATCAACAAGATTCAGATAGCCTATTGGGTTGATCAATTATGATCAAGAAGGAGGGCTTGAGCTTAATTCGATGAAGGTTGGGCCAACTTTGTCGGGGATCAATTTTGATCGAGTGCAGAGGCGGTTGATTTGATCAAGGTGCTTGGAGAGGATGATTTTTGCTCGAATGAATGCTATCAAGCCTCACTCGCACCAACAGCAAGTGAAATGCCCTTTTTCTGTCGCTGTAATGTTTAAACATTTAGCGAGGCCTTACGGTTCTTATCACGCCTAAGCCTTCAGATGGATATGTGGTATTTTGAGTCATCACCACAGTGTTTTCAACAGAGCTTCATTGTGCGAGTTGGTAGATGCATTTAGAACATTTAGATGAAACCAGTACGAGCCTTCGCGAATGTAAAACACGTCAGAAATAGGCTGCTATTTGTTCTCGAAAGTAAAAGCTCAGGAAATCAGTGCTTTCATGGGTCTCTAATACTGACGAACCATTTGGGTCCGCTAACACGATCATTCCTTGTGTTCTTGTTACAGGAAGTGGTCAAAGGGTACGGGTTGCTTACACGAAATCCAAAGCATTTCTGTTGCTGTTTCATTACAACGCAGTGTATGCGGTGCAATGTACCTTAATCACTCAATCATTTGGCTTTTCCCATGTTCTATCTTTTTCTATCCTCCGATCTGTTCATACCGACAACCCATTGAT